TTTTTTTTTTTTTTTTTTAAATAAAAAGTTAGGTCTTAACATGGCACGTTTTCCTGAAGGCTAAAGGACGCTCACGAGGCAACTCGCTTCAGGAAGTTGTGTAGTGAGGTTTTAAATTGTAGCCTAAAATCTTGTACTTGTCCAGTTTTGCAATGATAAGAATAAGAGTCTGTTCGGTAGTGATTATAAAAATTGATTTTTTGACCATTAAAGAGAAAATTGAATCTCATCTGTGAGTGAAGAAATTAAAAATGATTGTTGGAATGGTGAAATAACGGTTAGAAAATTAATCTTTTGGGGTGAAAAATTGCTATCAAGAGGGGACTGAGTTAAAATTAATTGGGAATCTTGAGCGTGAATGAGATATTTACATTTTGTTTGCCGAGGGCTTGGCATAGGATTAAACTACTCTGCCTAATGAATTATGATAGAAGGGTTGATAGATTCATATGTGGATTAAAAATGATTTCATGAAAAAAATGACTATTTTAAACCGTTTAATATTAAATGGCATTATGTCAACCGTTATATTAGTTATTCTGGCACTACAGTATGATAGTTTAGCAAATTGCACATTTTGCACATTTCTTGTTATATGTTATACCTTTTGAAATCCCAAATATTTCGGTGGTTTTATTAGTTGCTACTCTCCCATTAATGACAAAGCCTTCTAACTTTTACACATAAAATCTGTGGGACCATTTTCATCTATCGATTTACCTCTTTGTCTGTCTATTAAGAGCATTTTCTGTCAAAATGGTAGAATGAAACAGTTCACTGGTCCCTTCCAAAGGAAATGGGTGGGGGGTTCGAGAATATGGTAAGCCAAAAATGAGGGCACGACTAGGAGTAGCTGTAACAAGGGACCATAGTCATTAGTTATTAAGTACAACTTCTGTTTTAAGTAATGTAAGCAAATATATATCTTGATCAAAAAATTAAGAAAAATAAGTATAGGCTAGAAATTCCTCTCTGGAAATTCTCTTTCTTTTCTTCTTTTATTTCAATGTTGGTATTCATCAGTTGACAACAATGCTCTTTGAGCGTTTAAAATTACAGGAGAGCCTTTCCTAGCTTTCTCTACAATTTGCCTTATCAACATCCTCTCGATCTCTTCTTCATCATCTTCATTCTCATCTGTGCTGTACACAATGTCTTTTCTATGATTCGGTAACAATGGTGGACTTCCATTAACAAACGAATGTCGTGTGTAATGGTTTGAGCTGCCATTATGAACCTGCTGCCCATCCTGAAATATTTCTTGCTCATTGCCATCCTCGAGCCCAGATGGCGTGTCCTCTTCATCCGACTCGGTTACCTTCACAAACTCGTCATAAGCCTCATTGTATGCAGCTAGAGCTTCCCCCGATAAATTTATAATCGCAGGCTCGTCTGTGGATGCCTCTTCATAAGATCCTGCTCCGTTGTTAGAAAATTCGCTCCAACACGGTGCATTCTTGGATTCAGCGTATTTCATCTTCCTCTGACTGTTCTGAAGTGCAGTCTCGAGCTCCTTGACACGTTCTTCAAGTTGGGATTGAATGACTTCATGTAACCGCAAACTCAGCTCTCTTGGGGAGACCGCATGGTTAATGGAGCAGGGGGTCGAGCAACCATTTTCATCCTGATCAACATAAGGTTTGTCAAACAAGTCACCTCTCAACTCTCCCTCAACAACGTCTGCTATGAAATCTTTGTCAACCTACAATGTCATTCAACCAGAGAAAATAAAACCATGACACAGTTTTATATACTGCATGTTTCCATCAATAATATGGCATCAAACTGTATCCAACAAAGGTCATATGTGGAAAAATGAAATGACAAGATTCAACTTTCGATGTAAAACAGGGAGGACTACCAGCCAGACATCACATATAAGCACATGCTTTTCTTCTTTCCATTAAAAATCACAAAATGTCTTCCAAACAACTCATGATACGTATAGATCCTTTCAGCAAGGAATCTTGAAGGACCTGTGTTACTGTAAACAAGCAACCCAAAGTAGACAGATAAGCGTGGAATTTGAAAGTAAAACCAATAAAACTTAACCGTGGGGTGGGCTGTAAAATTAAACAAAGGGCCAGATTCTACACTTCAAAACCACCATGCAAAAAGAATGAGAAAACGGCCATTCTGACTGAGTACTTCTGTAACACAGAATAAATGGAGAACCCAAAGAAGCTTAGCTTGACACTTGCATCAAATCCACTCCAGGCACAAACACGTCTCACATTTTAAGAACCTAAGTTAAAGAATATAGAAAATCTGACAAAAAATTAGACCTTAAGAAACTTAAAGTGAAGCTTGTATTTGTTAAGACCTACTCTAGAGTTTTAACTATCTAACCAGTCAAAAATCACAGTTTCTTGAATTCACAAGCTAGCACACCCAAAAATTTAAATAATAGGGGAAAACTTATGAAGAGAATTCAGAAGGAAATATGAAGGTGGCCAATGAGATAAAATTATAAATGCATGTCCGGTACACAAATGCTTGAGTGGAAATACAATGATAAGTGGTCCACTCGATATTTGACAATGATAAGACGGTGATGGGTAAATGGATATGGATTACTTAGGTGGCAAATGTTTTAGCAGCAATAATCATCAAGAAGAAAGTCCTAGTTTTGATTTTAGCCCAACATTTTGCAAGTAATGGCTATTTTACAGAAAAAGGAAAAGGTAATCTTACAATAAAGATGAGAAAGAACAAATTCTAGAACATTAAATAGAATAGGAAAAATGGCTAAAGAATCCCTCTGAATCCCTAGGTGTCTGGCAGCTAATAGTGTGAAAATTTACACATTAGCCCAACCTCTTAAGTCTTATCACATAAAACATTCACGAAACATTGTTAAATTAATGCTCAATGAATATTGAAATCAACATTTAGCTCAGTGGTAATTGATGGATGCTGAAAGCCAAAAGCACGTGAGTAAATCATCAAGTCATTCAATCATACGCGTTTGTATGAGGAAGGCAATGCACATGCAAACATAAGATTGTGCAACATACTCACCTCTGCTAACTTAGATATTTTCTTTTCCAACTTAGATGAACTCATGTTCAATTCCAGCCTCTTCAGCTCAGCTTCAAGCTCTGATTCAATGTTACTCAAGGATATTTCCTTCACGTTCTGGTCACCATATTCTTCACGACAATACTCTGTTGAGTTGTCCACTTTCTGTTCTGGGGATAATGCATTCACTGCCTCTTTGTAGTAATAGTCATTGTGTATATCCTGTGATTCATGATTTTCTACAGAGAGTTCTTTCATAGTCAACAAATCTTTCATCTCAAGTTCTTCCTGCAGATCTTGAACCAGGTTCTCAGTCTGCCTTAACAAGGTATTCAGTTTTTCTATTTCCCCTTTATGTGCCAAGAAAGAAGATATTATTCCAACAGAGAGTCCAAGATAGAAATTAAGAGCTCCACCAGATGATCCTAATCAAACACAGAATGTTAGACAAGAAATATTTTATCAGCATGATAAGCAATCAAGTCTAACTTACCAACCTGTCTGAGCACACAATGGCAAAAGCAAAACGTTTCCACAAGAAAAAATTTCAAATGGTTATAGTGGTGGCAAAATGTCTTCAATTACAGAAAACAAAAACACACCCAACAAAATAAACAGTGTGTTTAACAGCACCCCACACAGAGTATACATGAGCAAGATTAGTACCTTCAGGAGAATTATTGGTATTTCCTTTGACCATTCTACTAGAATTGCTCGATCTTGCAACCTTCTCCTTTCCAGTTTTAGCTTTATTACGGCACTTCATTAATGCAAATTTAGGTAGTCCGGGAATTCCTAGAACAACCTCCCCATCTTGTGAATAAGTACTTTTGTGCAAGTTATATTTCCCTGTTCCAGTTGAAGAATTAAAGGATTCATGACAAGCCCTGCTGATTATTCTGCTCCCATCAGTAACTACGAATGGTCGTACAGTTGGTTTGCGTGGTGAATGAGTTGAACTAAAGGTGTATTCTTCAATTTCCGAATGCTCCTTGTATAACTGAGCCAGGAGACAACTTTCAAGAGATGTTAAGGGTTTTATGAATCGTCTGTTAGTTCGTCTAGTTCTAAGTCTACTTCTCTTTCTCTCAACGCCATAAGAAAAACTCATTTCTCTTGCAGATAGTTGACATGATAAATCACTATGAACCTCATCAATGTTCTGTCCTCTGCCTTCCCAATCCTCTAGCACATCTTCATTGTTCAAAACCACCGGTAATAAATTTGAATTGGGAGAGCAAATCATTAGGTTTTCCAATTCTACCGTATTTTCACCTCCAAACCCACTTGTAGAAGCCATTTCCGCTGCTGAAGCCTCTTGAGAAACCTTAGTATCTTCTCTGCAACCATCTTTCACAAGCTTATTTTTTCCTAAGACACTGCGGAAGGAGCAGTGCTTGTCTTCAACAGGTTCCGATCTATCAAAATTAGCATTAGCTGAAGATAAATCTGACGAATAATGTTTACCCAGCGAAAGATTCTTCAAATGCTGAGCTAAATACCCAGCACCAGCTGCTGCAGCAACAACCCAAACATCCATTTTCTAGCCGCCTCAAAACTCACTCTCTTTCAATTCAGAGCAACATAACCCCCAAAAGAATTTCCATTAATCAGAAAACGAGAAACCCAACCAGTAAAACCAATGTCTGGGACAAAATGCAGATGAAAGTGGAGGAATAAAAAGTGATACGTAAGAACAAGAAAGCACCAAGTTACGTGCTCTTTTTTCCTATATTCTTCAAATAAAAATCCCCAATTGCAGTCAATTTAGACTATCTATATGAAAAAATAATAACTCAGCATACAAATCAGGAAAATGAAACCACCTCGCCTCTGATAAAATAATTGTCAACTACACAATTTCTTAATACCTATTAAACAGAGACAAAAAAGATTTAGAATGTTTCAAAAACAAAAAAGTAGCCTTATATCAGTATCAAAGTCAGAACCGAAATGAAGACTTTGTCAAATCCTTTGAACTTCCAGATGAACAACAAAAAACATCAAGAAAACCCAATGCACACCCTTCTGCCAGAAATCTCTGCGCTGCAAAATCCATCAACAAAACAAGCTCCAATTTTTGGGTCAGAAATCAAAACCCATCAACAAGAATGACTCACTTCTTCCACCAAACCAAGACCTGTAAGTGAGAGTAATTGTAAATAATGGGGGCCCGACAATAAAATTTTTACTTTTTAACAAGTAAAAAGGGATTCACCTTTGTTTGAGTTGGCAAGGCAAACCGAGTGATGCAAAAGTATGGGGCCAAAGATTCTAAGAAGAAACGATGTAGATTGTAGCAGAAGGCTCACTTGGATTTTTTATTTTTGGGGAAATCTAAAATCTTTTGTATCCTTTCCTCAGTTATCTAATCTACTCGAGATTTTTTTTTGCCCTTTTTTCTTTCACCTAACTTTGTTTGAGAAGTAAAACAAACCAACGATTGCACAATTACCTTTCTTCTTTTGACCTATCAATGTTGATTTAAAATATGTTTAAGAGTTGTTCATAATATATTTAGTCCATGTTTGTTTCCCATTATTTCACTATTAAAATAAAAAATATGATCATAATTTATCACATCAAACTATCATATTTAAATTTTTATATCTTGTGTGGAGCCTGTAACGATTATATTTTTCATTCTCATTCTTAAATTAATAAAAAACAAACGGGCCTTAAATTATAAATAGAGATAGAAACACAGGAGAATGAATAATTAATCATTGTTAATAAAAATTAGTTTGACCCATATAGATTATAAACAAGTGTCAAAGATGCGCAAAGACTTTTTGTCCATGTTTGTGCCCTATTTTTTTTATTTTTTTTTTCAAATGAATTTTGTAATTTTTTTAAAGGCTATAAATATACGACTAGATTCGGGAAGGTTAATATATATATGTTTTCAATTTTGATGATTCTTATAATTTATTAAAAATACTTATAGGAATAGCTTTTGACTTGGCCAACTTTTTGTGCAAAATATTTTATAACTAATATCGTTTGATAATATTTAAGAAAAGCAACTAATGTTACAGTGTGACGTTTCCGATTAAATGCTTATGTCGTTTCATTTTCTTTAGTTAAATGAAAACGAGTGGTTGTTGATTCTCAGACTATGAAGTTATACCTAACCAAGCATGTTGTGGAAATCTCCTTAGGACACACGGTAGCATACGAGATATTGTTCGTTTGTTGAACCTCTAAGCAAGTGGGGTCGCAAGTTTAGATTTATTTATTTTTATGATCCCATTATTAATTTTTTTTACCTCTCAACATAATATCTTCTCTTAACAAGCAAGAAGATGATAACACATTATTTGACACTTAAATGCATTACACTGTGACATCTTATCCTTTATTAACAAGAGATGTCGAGGTGTCAAAAAATTATCGTAGGATGGGATATAAACTACTCATGGAGATGTAACAATCCTACAAAAAATAAAATTTAAAAACTAATTTTGATAGAAGTTCATTAATTTGTTAGACATGTCGAATTGGATAACATTGAACATATAACAATACATCCATTTTGAGAGAAAACGCATTTTTGAATGTTGATTTTTGTAAAATGTACGGTTAAAAATGAAGAAATAGTTTTTGATTTATATGTAATATTATTTTATTGGAAAACGTGTGATTAAAAGTATGTTTTGAAAAAATGATTTTTTTTTTTATAAAATATAGCTCAAACGGTTAATATTTTAATCATTGTTTTATATAATATTATTGAATACACATTACTTCAAGTCTTCAAGGATGTCCTATAATTCGTGCATCACCCTTAGTTTAAGACAATAATGGGACGCTATCATTGCAAATGATAATGGGTCGGGTAGATTCCTGAAATGGCGCCTTCTCATGAAATGTCAACATTGCCCTTTGCCATTTAGAAAGAACTATTTTTCGTTGATTGTAGGGATGTCAATGGGCCGAGTAGAGTCGGTTCGTGACCTAAAACTCTAGAGGCGGGCTCGACTCGACTCGAGTAAAATGGTGCCAGATTTTTTCCGAGCCCGAGCCGAGTTGAGTCGAGCTTTTGCTCGACCAAAAATTTAGGCTCAATCCTAGTTTTTGGCCTGGGCCTTTTCGAGCCGGGTCGAGCCAAGTAGGCTCGATTTTTTTTAATAGTAAACTGCTGCCTTTTAAATGGCAACATTTTGCCGCTTTTCTTGTCTTTTATTTTAAGGCCCGTGACCTTGAGACAACAAGCCACACGGGTCGGGTCGGGCTTTTTTCGGGCAGAGCTACGAAGTGCCCGAGTTGGCAATCCGAATTGCCATCCCTAATTGATTAATAAACGGCGGTGATTATATTATCATCACAATTTTTATTTATTACATTATATTTTAGTTGCAATTAAAATCTTCAATCTTTGTTTGTTGTTGTAATTATTTCATTAATTTTTTTATCGAATTCTTATCTACAATCTTCCGTTAATTAGTACATTTCGTCATTGATGATTATTTGTGTCAAAAAATTTTGTTTTAATGCTTTGAAATAAGGAAAAATATTTTTTCGTACTTATTTATTTAATTTGAATATGATGAGAAAATAAGTTGTTATACACTATCTCAACGCCCTTTTTGGATGGAAACTGTTATCAAATACAAATTGAACTAATAGAAAATTTGGGAATAAGAATGCTCTGAAAAATGTTGTAGACATAAATGCTATAATGAGTAAATATTGAGTACGTAAGTGCAATTAAAATGTAGCGTAAGAAATAAAAATCGTGGTATAAATATAATTACCCAAAAAGGGGCTGCATGTATGCCAATGTAATGTCCAAATCGCCCCTAAATGTGATTGCGTAGAACACATAGCATGAAAAGCTTTTTCAGTAACGTTATTTAGCTCCACGAGTGCTTAATACCAGGCTATGTTGCGACTATCCAATAAAATTAGAATGCATTGTTATGCATTAAACAGTGTGATAATGAACCTACATTCTCATAGACAACTTTTTTTCTGTACAAAATGTGCTTGCAAGCCTGCATTAAAAATTTCCACTCGCAAGGAGCGTTTGATATATTATCGAGACTTCAACAGGATTGTAGTTTCCCTACTATATAAAAAAGGGGAGTGTGAGGACATTATAGAAAGCAACAGTGTCTTGATCCATCTTTACTGTAGTATTTTTTTTTGTTTTTTTCAATCTGGGGGCCAAAAACGACGCCGTTTGCTTGATATATATTTTATTTTATTGTACACTACCTCCAAATTTACTGCAATACGCAATTTCCATTCCTCCCCACTCCGATATAGATATATATAATAGGGATATAAGAAAAATGTCACTTTTATATTAAAAAAAAAGATAGAGATAATATGCGATAGAAATTTTTTTTACAACATATTAAAAAAATTTGAAGAGAAAAGAATTAAAGAGAATTATAAATTGAAAAAAAAAATTATAACTAAAACTACACAGCAAAAAAAAAAACGAATGAGTTATGAATAAAAAAAAAATAAAAAAAAAAAAAAAAAAATAAAAAAAAAAACAAAAAAAAAAAAAAAAAAAAAAAAAAAAAAGAAGAAGAAGGTAATCTCTCCGTGCACGGAGACATTAGTCTCCATGCACGGAGACACTGTCTACGTGCACGAAGGGGGGAAAAAAATTGTTGAAACCTCCGTGCACAGAGGCAGGTGTCTCCATGCACGGAAACAGTGTCTCTGTGCATGGAGACAAAATTTAGAGAATTTTTTATTTTTTATTTTTTTACTTATGTTTTTGTGTTCATTTTCAAGTTCATTACGGGATATCAAACGAAATCGAAATATTACATTCTTAATATCGTTTTGAAATACTCGCGGCATAGTATTGCACGTCGTTAACGGTGCGTGAAACGGTCAATCGTAGCAAATGTTATGGGACGTCAAAGTAGGCATTTTCAAACTATATTTCGAAATTTTCGATAACAAACTAATTTTAAAAATTCATCGGCGATTGTACGATAGTCGAATCGATAAAAATTTTACATTTTTTCGAAACTCATTTTGAGAACTATATCGTAAAGACATCGAATGATCTAAATAGATATCAAAAATAGTAAAACGGACATTAAACATATGTGTTAAAAAATACGCATAAGTCGTTTTTTCTTTAAAAAATCAATTATTTTATTACTATTTCGAAATTTTCGATAACAAGCTAATTTTAAAAATTCATCGACGATTATACGATAGTCGAATCGATAAATGTTTTACATTCTCTCGAAACTAATTTTGAGAACTATATCGTATAGATATCAGACGATCTAAATTTTTGCTCAAAAAAAAAATATGTGGTATGTGTTAAAAATGCGTATACGTCGTTTATTCTTAAAAAAATCAATTATTTTATTACTATTTATTCTTTTTTCTCAACAATTTTCTCAACGCATCATTTTGCTCAAAAAAATTATGTGGTATGACGAAATTTTTTTTCTTCATGCACAGAGTGAATATGTTTTTTTTCATCATTTTATATATTAAATTATTACTAAAAAATTAAATTTTATCTCAAACTATTAAAAAATACTGATTATTAATGAAAAAAATCACTTTTATATATATATAAAAATAATTTCAGACAATATTTAATTTAATAGTAATATTTTTAGTAATATTGAATTTTTTAAATTAAATTTATCTAAATATTACTTTAGATTAAATATTAACTCAAAGTTTTAAGTATATTTCTTTACATAGTAAAAAGTTTACTTCAAATTGTGTAAAAAA